CCAACTTTCCTTGGAAAGGAGAGATGGGGGATGAGATTGATGAAGCCCTCAGAGGAAGTGGGGTCTGCCTGAATGGCCTTGGCATGATACTGGCCGTAGATCCAGGGTCTTGGGGCCACTGGCCACTGCCTGCCCAACCCACAGGGGCCTCAAAATGAGCCTGCCTTTCTACAGTACCCACCATGGGCAGGTGTCTTCCCACATCTTCACAGTAACTCCAGGACCGAGCGCTAGGGTTATCCCTGCTGGAGGGACAGGGAGACTGAGGTTCTAAGTGGTCAGTAACTTGCCCAAGGTGACATGGGGAGCCAGTGGCAGTGCCAGCAATGGCACAGGTGTGTTCCCATTAGACCAGACAAGCTGAGGTCCTTTAGCACAGGGTCTGGAGCAGAGTCATCTGAGGGAATGGTGATGAGTGAGTCAGCAAATGAATGAATGAATGGATGGATGAATGAGTGAATGAATAAGAAAGCTGTTTCAAGGACTCTGCCTTTGGGCTTCTCCCTCGTTGCCCCCTCCAAGGAGACCCCAAGATTAATGGCACTCAGGAAAAGGCCCATTTCACCTTCCCAGAAACAAAGGCCCCCAAATTTCTGGGTCCCAGGAATCCCCCAGGCTGCCCAAATGCCCCCCAAGGAGCACTGAACATACCTCTTTCTGCATGCTCCCCTTAATCCCAACCAGTGTCCCCAGGCCAGAAGCCAGAGGTCACCCTGCCCTTCCCAGGAGCTTGGATTGGAGTCTGGGGTGGGGAAGGGATATGGGAAAGCTGACCTCTCTCTCCATCCCCTCCGCCCCTCCCTCCCCGCTGCGTGCTGGTCACTTTCAGGAGGCCCTGGGGTAGGGAGTGCAGACTCCAGTGGGCTCCAAGAAGCTTGGGAGGTGGGGTGCTGGAGCCCCCTGCTGGCCAGGTGCTCCCCTGCCCCTGTGGGGATGAGTTAGGAGGATTCCATTCATTCAGCACTTATGAAGCCCCCTGGTGCACCCCAGGCCCCAGGCAAGTGCAGGGACTCAGCGGAGAGGACACAGACTGTCGTCCATGGCTCCACTGAGGACATGACTGGTGTCTGTGTGTCATATATCCCCTACACCCAACCATGCTCCCGAGGACTGTCCCCACCCCCCCAGAAAACTAAAAGCCCCCCCTGGGCAGGAACTGTGCCCCATTAGGCCAGGATGTCCCCGGGCACGGTTGTTACATTCCTGGGCTGGGGCTGCCAGTCTGTGAAACCTACTATTCCTGAGAACCCCTCTGCTCATTCCCAGAGCCTCCCAGGACAGGGTTGCCACATAAAATATAGGATGCCCAGTTAAACTTGAATTTCAAATAAACAAGGGATGATTTTTTAGTATAAGTATGTCCCAAATATTGTGTGAAGTATACTTAAACTAAAAATTATCCTTGTTTACCTGAAATTCAAGTTTAACTGGGCTCTCTGTGTTTCTACTTGCTAAATCTGGCAACCCTACCCCTGAAGCTCATTCCTTCTGCTGGCACTTGGCCTGTCCAGATGGCCCAGGCTGTGCCTGGACATGGCCCCTGCCTGCCCAGTTACAGCTTCTGTCACACCCAGGACTGCTCTGCTCCCCCATTGGGCCCCATCTGCAACCCTTGCTCCCGCTCCGGGGTGAATACCCACCCCCACCTGGCGTGCCCAGCCCAGTCTAGGGATAGTCAGGAAAGCTGTCTGGCCTCCTGCATGATGGACCCAGAGAACAGCGCCGAGAGAGTGACCTCACACATCAGAGATAGCAAGGGACAGAGACACAAAAAAAAGGGGCACAGACAGTGAGCTGATGGAGACAGCAGGAGAAAGCCAAGACAGAGAGAGACAGAGAGCTTCAGGCCCCCTAACCGGAACTGCTTCGGGGAGCCCAGTGCAGGGGCTGGAAGGAGGTGTGTGAGCCCACCGGGGTTTGCCTGAGCGGATCGGGACAGAGGCTCAGCCCCTAAGCCCTAACACTGGACCTGGGGCTCTGGGTCCTGGGCAGGCAGGCACAGAAGGCAGCTCGGGGTCTCCTGCACTGGTAGTCGGGGTGGGAGGCTGGATCCATCCCCTGCGGCTCTCCCCTCACCCTGCCTCCCAGGGGCAAACACAGGGACATTCACGGCTTCCCAGAAGGGCCTATGGGGCAGCCAGAGTGGCTTTTAAAATTAGCCTCACTAACCAGATCTGGTTATTTCAGGAGGCCTGGTCCCTGGCTGTCCTTGGCAGGGCGGGTGCAGGGAGGGAGGGAGGGAGGGACCTCCACATTCCAGGGTTCCTGGCTGGGTACCCCCTGTGGCCTAGAAGCAGAGAACATCCAGGTCCCAGCCCGGCACTGGAGAGGCCTGGGCCTGTGGCCATTTCTTCAGCAAAGTCATCTGAAGGTTAGCCATGGATGTCCAGGGAGACCCCAGCTGTTGGGGGACAGGGGAGGACCTCTCCTACTGGGCATGGATTCTATGCTATGTACCTTAGAGGCCATAACAGCCTCTTCACAGCAATAGGTAGGGCTTTGTCCCCACTTTACACGTGAGGGCACTGAGACCCGGAGAGACAGGTCCCGCTGAGGCAGGGGAGATGGGGATGCTGGGTCAGCCAGGCACCCAAGTCTCTGCACAGGAGGCCTCTTGCCTCCTTCATCTGTAGGAACCTCTGGCTGCCATTTCCACCACCAGAGTTATTTCTGAGTGGAGCTCAGGCTCCTGGAGCCTGATGCCCCCCGCCCAAGCTCTAATTCCAGCTTCTGGCCCATGTCCTGGCTCGCCCTCCCCACCTCAGAACCCAGGGTGAGCACGGAACTGGCACAGGCACAAGAGAAACAGCGCTGGACACTTTGATCCCAAAGGCCAGATTCGCCCTCAGCCTCCCCGGCCCCACCTTGGAGCCCAGCCGAGGGGCCTGCCCTTCCCACAGAGACTGGCACACACTGGGCAGGCAGAGGGGCAAAGGCAGGTTCCTCATCCAGCTGCACCCCAACCCCCTGCTTCTGCCACAACAGACCACAGGGCTCCAGCTCAGCTGCAGGGCAGAGCGGGGGGGTGCGGTGCATTGTAAAGTAGAAGGATACACGTGAGGGTTCTGGATGGGGAAGCCGAGGCTCAGGTAAGCAACTGACAATTGTACATTACCAACACCTCACATCTGGATATAGGTGCTGGGCCTGGCCCCAGTTATCCCATCTTCCACACACAGCTGACCCCACATGCTCGAATGTGGGCTATGGACAAGGCCCCATTAATGGCTAATCACTCCCCCCAATTCCACACAATCTTTTGAGCCCACTGGGGGCTAGGATGGCACCAAGAACTCACTGGGGTGCCAAGGTCAGGACTATTAGCATTCCCACTGTACAGATGAGGAAACTGAGGCCCAAAGAGCCAAAATCATTTGTCCAATCACAGTTAGGAGGTGAACAACTCAGAGCTAAGCTCTTGACCTTGGTGCTGAACTGTGGCTGCGGGCCCTTTGGCAGTGGGATGGGAGGAGACAGGGTGAGGTGCTGAGGCAGATAGGATGGAAGAGCCAGGGCCCAGAAACAGGGAAGGGCAGAGGTGAGGCTGAGCAGGGAAGGGGGTGGGTTAGCATGGGACCCACTGAGCCCAGAGCAGCCCTAAGGCAAACCCAGGTGGGTGGGGCTGGGGATTGGGTGAGAGCCACAGACGTGAGGTTCCTGGAAGCGCCCTGTCAGGAAAGTACAGCAGCCACTGGGGTGCAGTCAGCACTGAGCTGTGGGGGCGCAGGGGCTGGCGGCAGGGAGTGGGGTGGCCAGGGCATGGTTGATCCCGCTGGAACCCAATTCTGGGCCCACCCCCAAGCCCAATACCCCCTGACGCACCCCCAAGCCACCCTTCCTCCAGTGCTCCTACCTCAGAGGGGACTTCCCCTCACCCAGCGCCCAAGCTGGGCCCCTGAGCCTCAGCTCCTCTCTCAGCCCACCTCCCATCAGGCCCTTTGTCCAGATGCTCATGCCCCCCAACACCTTCCAGGTCTGCCCTCTGTCCTCCTGCCACCATCTGTCATCCACAACAGCCTCCTTGATCCTGCCCTTCCCGCACCGTCACTGACCATCTATCCATCCCACTTCCCATTCCCTGCACTTTCCATTTCAAATCTTCCGTGGCTCCCTGGTGCCCTCAGCATAAAGCCTCAGCCTCTTGGTCTGGCATTCAAGGCCATGTGACCAATGGCCTCATCTCTGCGCATCTTCCTGTCCCCATGCACACACTGTCATCACCTTCCCATCTCAGAACTGTTTGCTACCTTCCCAATTCCAGGCACTCCCTCCCCTCCAGACCTTTGCCCCTGAAGCTCACCCAAGGACACTCCTGAGCCTTCCCGGGACCTCAGGCGCCGCTGCCGTCTTCTCCACACCTCCTTTGCCCAAGCTGGGCCCCTGCTTGTGCACCCCGGTCACTCAGCACCCTGTGTCGTAACTGCCCTGCACTGTGAGCACCTTCGGGCAGCTGGACAGACTCACGTCATCTCCCTGCCCCCATAGTCGGGGTAAGCGCTCCTTCGGCGCCCCCTGGTGACCACATAGGAGAGCTTCTTAGGCTTCGCTGAGCATTAAAAAGGAAAGAAGCAGGCTGATGGTGCACCGTCTGGCAGAAGCTGCTAGGTGTCTGAAACGCACCAGCTCAATGAATGCTCGTAACAAACCCTTGGAAGAGGTACTAATGCTCCCATTTTACACAAGTGGACACTGCAGCTCAGAGAAGCTAGTAAGTTTCTCAATGCCACCAGCTAGTAAGAGATGATGCCAGGACTCAAACCTAGGTCTGCCAGACGGCAAACAGATCCCTGTTCTTCCCGCTGTGGAAAAGGGGAACAGGGTGGAGGGAGGGAGCCACCCCTAGAGGTCACGAAGCCTGTGGTTTGACCTTGGAGGTGCCCTTGGACCCAGCAGCTCCGATGAGGCGGGGAGGACTAGCTCTGCAGACCACATTGGCACCACTGAGATCCCTCTGGGGTCCACCCGGGCAGGGTTCGTGCAAAGCCAGGCCCAACTCAGGGTACAATAGCGATAAATAGAATTTATTTTGTACAACTGTTACTGACACACACACGGCCACAGGGGCTTCCAAAATGGGTGTTGGGGCCAGAAGGCCGGCCTTTGGCATGGCGCCTAAAAAGTGTGGACAGACACACGCAAGAATGTGGACTCACAGCAGCTGTGCCTGGCTGCCCCTCCATGGGCGCTGGGGGCACAGGAAGGCAAGGCCCATAAATCTAGGCCGGCTGAGACCCCTCGGCTGGGAGTGCCGAGAGCATGGGGTGGCAGGGGTTAGGGTGGGTGCTGGCTGAGGAGCTAGGCAGGCCCCTCCCCCGCCAAGAGGGTCACTTGTCTGCCACGGGGAGGCAGTAGACAGGGCATTGGCAGATCTGCAGTACAGCTTGAGGGTCCAGGAGGGACAATGGGCACAGCCAGCTCCCTGCCCCGCAGCCCACCTAGGGCTCCAGGGACCCCAAGAAGCAGGGTAGGATGAGGGGAGGCCCCTAGGAGTATAATCCTCATTCTGGGGCAGGGGCATGGGAATCACAGTCTTCAGTGACCTCTGAAATAGTCTTGTCCATTTGTAGCAGAGGTACCCAGAGAGGGAGAGTGACTTGCCCAGAGTCACACAGCAGAATCCTAATGGGAAGCCAGGACTCAGGACTCCAAGCCCAGTGCTCATTCCACCACATCTCACATCCCATCACCTCCACAGTCGCTCTGTAGGTACTGAGATATCTCAGCCTCCTCCTCTTGTGTTGCGTCCCCTGAGGCCAGAGGGACATGCATGTGTGATAAAAGGGCCCAGGGTCAGGGCAAGCCAGGCCTGGAGTCCTGCTTCAACTGATCACTCCCTGCCCCAGCCTGGGGGGTGAGGATGATGCCAGCAGCTTCCCCACTCCCAGGTCTGGATGGCTCTGCCCTGCAGAGATAGCCCAGATGGGCAGGCTCAGGGGAGGGCTGGGAGGCAGGGGCAGCCTGCAGGCTGGGGCTGGCCTTGGGGGCAGAGGTCCCATCTGCCTGGATTTGACACAGCATCTTCACCTTGTGCTTCTGCGGCCTCATCTGCATGGTAAAGGGTGATGGAGATTCCACGAAGCAGGAGACAGCAGTAGGAGGGGCTCACCCCTGGGAGTTCAGGCTCTGGGTCTCTCCATCCCACTGGGAACCCCCAGGCCCCTCCCTCCCAGCAACTCCCAAGTCCCTTTCAGGCTCCCATCAAACCCAGCAATTCATGGGCAGAAGGTGAGGCAGCATTTATTAGCCCCACTGCACAGATAGGGAAACTGAGGCCCAGAGAGGGGCCAATGACCTGCCTGAGTCGCCTAGCATCTGAGCGGCAGAGGATTCAAACTCAGACACCAAGAGATGTATGTATCAGACAGAGATGACAGAGGGACAGGGAGGAGTCGGCCCAGCCCCCTGCCCACTCCCACCCTCTCCCCACCAAACAGGCACTAAGGGCTGGGTCTGACCTGCTCAGTTTCACCTTCAGAGGGGGAGACTGGCTAACAGCCCTGCAGAGAGGATGGTGGTGAGGCAGGTGACAGGACAGATGACAATGTAGGGTGGGAGACACAGGCAGGCAGAGGTCACTGACACCGCCCAGGCCAGGTGAACCCAACCCCTTCTGGCCTGGGGGACCTCTTGGTTCAGCCCCAGCCCTGGTCCCCTTGACACTCCCCTGGTGGCTAACCTCCCTCCCAGGGGAGGCCTCCCCAGGGCCAGCCTCCAGGCTGCCCATCCCTGCCCTGGCCAGTCCCCCGGCCGTGCGTGTACCAGCTGCGGCGAGTGCTGTGAAGATGCTTCCAGCTGGATCTTGATCTCCGGACACGCAGGGTCCCCCGACTTGCTGGCGTCTGGGTGGGGTGACCGTGAGGGGCCTGGGAAGGGGGGCAGGAGGGAGCCACCTCACTGGCCACGGGGAGGCACCAGGGAGACGGGGGCATGGATGGGAGGTCGGCACAGATGCTCCCCAACGCTGCCGAGTCCCTCCCTTGGGGAAGTCCCCCCTTAACTCCCTTTCATACCCTGCCCTCACCCTCCAGGAGCTTTCAGAAGGCACCCAACCATCCCAGGCTGGAGAACAACTCCACCCAATGTCCCCGAAGTCAGGAGCAGTCCCATTACACGCCGACCACTTGAGGTACGGGAAGTGGTTTCAACCTCTGTGCCCAGCCCTGTCCCCTCCAGCCCCAAGAATGGCACTGCTTGGTGGGGGAAGCTGGCCCTGCCCTGGTACCTGGGGAACTGCCCCCACTGGTAGTGCTGACACTGTCCTCCAGCCATGTGCTATAGATGAAGGAGTCCCGCTTGTGGGGCGTCCCGGAGGACGAGATGCTCTCCTGGGGACAGGGAGAGGAGAGGAAGAGGGAATCAGCCCTGGTCCATGGCCCCGGCTTGCCTCCCCTCCCCTTCCCAGCCTCCATCCCAGCCCTCTACCCTTGCCTGCTGTAAAGAGGATGGGGGCCCAGCAATGTCTGCCCCACGGAGACCCCAGGAGGACAGAGTGGGATGAGGTACAGACCCAGGCACCACCATGCACTCCCATTCATTCATTCAACAAACATCTGTTGATGTTCTCCTGGGCCAGGCCACCAAGGGAAATCAGGCAAGGTCCCTGCCCTCAGGGAGCTCAGTCTAGGAGGTGAGACAGGCTACGAAGAGATTATTATAATTTTAGTCCCTAAGTCCCATCAGGCAGAGCCTGGGTCTCCACTGTCCCCTGCTGGGCCTGCCGCAGCTGGAGCAGGACCTGTCAAAGAAGAGGTGCCCACGAAAGGTCTGTTGAAGAATGACAAAAGGGTGCTAAGGGCAAAGCCCAGGGGCCAGTGAGAACAGAAAGGAGGCCCTCCTAACCTACCCTGGTACTAGAAAATCAGGGAAGGCATTCAGGAGGAGGTGATATGCGGCTGAGTGGAGAAGGATGAGTAGGGGTCAGTCAGACAAAGGGAAAGGAGGAGGTAGGTAATGTGCTCCAGCCTGAAGAAAGGACAAGTGCAAAGGCCCAGAGGTGGAGTAGGCCTGGTACATCTGGGGGATGCAAAGGGGTGCAGAATGGATAGAGTTGTAAGAGATGAGGCTGGGGACAGAGGAAGAGAGAGAGACTAGCTCTTCCTGTGGTCTCAGAGAGCAGGCTCTGTGGGGGGCACTGGGAAGGCTTCAGAGCAGGGGAAGGGGAGTCTTCATCCCATCTCAGCTACACCCAGACTCATTCTTCTATCCAGAGCATCGCCAGGGAGCACAGAGCGCCCCTCAAGGCCATTCCTGGGCCTCTTACCAGGCCTGTATCGTCCCCATCCACACCCTCTGTCTCCACCACGCTGGCGAAGCTGCTGGCACTGGACGAGGAGCGAGAGAAGTCCTTCAGCACTTCGGCGCTCTGGGCTGCTGTCTCCGCTCTGCCACACACGGCATCCTGTCAGCCAGCACCCACTTCGGGCACCTGCTGTGCCAAGACCCCCGTCCCCTGCCCTCCTAGCCCAGGGAGGCCCAGCCTATAGCCAGCCAAGCCCCTCTGTGGCCCCGTCACAGGTTCCTGAGCCTCTGAGTCTCCCCTCTGCCACTGTACTTCCTGGTATGTGGACGTCCTTCCCCTGCTCAAAAGCCTCTCATGACACCCCACTGCCCCAGACAAAGTCTCATTTCCTTGGCTTGGTGTTCAATAACAGTAACTATTAACAATAATCCTATCATCCAGTGTATGTTAGCTCTGTGCCAGGCACTATTTTAAGTGCTTTCATGTGAGTTATCTCATTGCTATCACTTTTAGACCTGTCTTACAGATGAGGAGACACCGAGGCAGGGAGCGCGACGTGCAGCCGTAGGTGAGAGAACGGTGGCTGGGATCTAGGCCTTCCAGGTGCACAGCTTAGCCCTATTATCGTTTTGTCCCCTGCTCAGGGCCTTTGTGTCTCTTGCCTGGAGTCTCACTCCTTCCCTCAAATCCCAAACAGCAAAGTCTTTGAAAAATCAGCCGAGGGCCTCCTACTCAAGGAAGCCTTCCCTGATTCCTCCTCTGGAGGTAGGAGCAATCCTCCCTGCTCTAGGTCCTGCATGCCTTTTCTCTTCCTGACCCTGTCGTCCTTTTCCACTTCTCTGTTCACCTGCCTGACTCTTCTGCCTGGGCTGAGTCCTCTCGACTCCCCCAGGCAGCACAGAGACTCCCCACTGGCCTCCCTGCTTCCATTCCTGATCCTGCCTCCTTCCAGCCACGTGGCAACCATAGTCAGTTTTTTAAAGCACCATTTCCCTTACCTAAGATCTTCCAAAGGCTCCTGGTTACACTTAGGATAAACCCAAAGATCTCACACAGCCTCGAAGCCATGACCTAGGCCCTGCCTACCTCTCTGACCTCATCCGCACTGTCACCCTGCACGATGTCTGCCTGGGCCTGCCCCTCACCACTTGGCTCTGTCCATACCACCCTTTTCTATCCTTTAAGCATGCCTCAGGGCCTTTAAACTTGAGGTGCTTCTTACCTGGCACCTTCCCTCTGCCATGTCAGTCCTAGCAGGGCTGACTCTTCACTTTGCTCTCAGTTCAAAGCTCACCCCTTTGTAGATGTTTTCCTGAACACCCATCTAACCCCCAACCCACTCATTCCTCATTGCATCCCCCTGCTTTGCTTTCCTGCTATAATCACTATCTAGAAATAGCTGATTAGCTTGTGGCACACTGGACTGTCACCTCCACAAGGTGGGGGCCATGTATGCTCAGTTCACCACTATTCTAGAGCTTTGCATGGGACCTGCAAGTGGGTGTGTGTCAAAGGATGATCAGAGAAGGTGCCCAGTTCTCCCTGACACCCTAGTGTGGTACTGTCAATGCCCCTGGGCAGCCCCAGGTCTGGGCAGGGGCTGGAAAGGATGAGTGGCGGGTGTGCCCCAAGCCCCAACCTGTTCTTGGTCGTGGGCATCTCTGGGGAGCTCTGAGTGGATGAGTTCTCCGACCTGGGCTCCTGTGAGACGAGCCCGCTGTCTGGGGTCTTCTGGCCAGCCGGGGGGCTCTCCCTGCAGGGCACACGGGGGCAGCAGGGGGATTCAGCACTGGGCCTAGCACCAAGGGTAGAATGAGGCCCAGGTGGTGAGAGGAGGTCACGGGCACCCAACTCACCCCTGTGCCCTATATCCTCCGGGCCTGGCCCCAGGGCAGTCCCTGAAGCTCCTGGGCTGGCCTGGCCCCGGGGAGGGCAGGTGATGCTGGAGCACATTACATAAGACAGGACACTGATCCCCAGGGATGATACAGGGGGGTTATCATTGTTCCCTCTTTGGATAAGGAAACTGGAGCCCAGAGACGGGCAGAGACATACAGCTAGGACATGGCAGAGACAAGACTCGAACCCAGGATTCCCAGGATTGTGGGCTCTCCTGGCAGTGAGGACAGCACAGCTCCAATCCTGAGGCCTCGGTGCACCCACCACACTGCTTCACATGCACTGCACCACACCTTAAAGTGGCCCCCCTGCCATTGGTTATGTTCTTATCCTCATTTTTCAGATTGGGCTAGTAAGGCTCAGAGAGGTTCAGTAACTTACTCAAGGCCACACAGCCCCAGTGTGGTGAAGACAGCATTCACATCCAGCAACTATCCTCTGCTTCCCAGGGGCTGCCCTGCTGCTCATACAACACGCTGCCCACACCCTGCACACACGGGTGCACTCATAGACCTCCACAGGTTAGGCTGCAAATCCCAGCTCTGCCCCTCACCGGCTGTATGACCTGGGTAAGCCTCTGAGCCCTGTGACCTACAGCACCTTGACAGCCAAGGCGTGACCCCCAGGGAGCAAGCACAACAGCTGAGGGGATGAACACATTTCACGTTAGGTGATGAGCTGGCCCTGGTGCCTGGCACACAGTGGAAGCCTCACGGTACAGCAGTCACTGGTAGGGGACAAGGGCCAGAAGGGTGTGTGTCCCTCCTCCTGCCCGCTGTGCCCCGCCACCCCACCCTGCTCCACCCACCTTTTCTCCTGCACCTCCTGTATGTTCTCGATGCCAATGGCGCTGCTGCGGCGTGAGCCAAAGGGGCCCGGCTTCTTCCTCGTGGGGCTCTTCCCAGGGACAATCAGTGACTGCAGGGAGAGGCCCAGCTCAGTGCGCCTGCCCTGGGAGCCCTGCTGTACCCCACATGCCACCTGGGGCTTCCTGCCCCAGGCCTTGAAGCAGAGGCCATGAGCAAAAAAGAACAAAAGAAAATGTCTACTTCCACAGACAGTCCTCCCAGTTTACGCACAGCGTGACCGCCCCCCACCCCGCCCCCCAAGATCACAGAGCAGGGCTGGGCCCAGGACCTTAGTCCAGAAGGACAGGGGCCTGAGGAGACTTGGCAGCCTCTCTGGCCCAGGATGGGAGGGGGCCAAGTCCTCTCTGTCCCCTGGTTTCTGCACACATCCCTAGGGTGGGACGCCCCAGGCACCAGAAGCATGCTCCAGCTTCTCTGGGGAAGAGGGAAAGTAGGCCAGGCCCCAGGGGTGTGTGGAGGGGCAGGAACCACCAGGTCAGTTCACGGTGGGGGGGGAGTCAGGGCAGAGCAGAAGGGTGGCACTCCATGCAGAACTGGCGATACTGGGGGACGTGTGGTTGGGCAGAGGGTTTTTGGGTACCAGATCCTGGAAGGGACTGGGTCAGGGTCCCAGGGGCCAGGGCAGGGCCAGAAGCCCCTGGCGAGGGGCACTGGCTCTGGTGCAGATACCAGGCCCCAAAGCAGATGCTGAGTGCCATCAGAGCTGCCAGCACACCATCCTGCATGCCCTGGGCCTGTCCCAGGGAAATGGGGGGCAACGTCCCCAATATGGCCTCCATCCTGAGAGTGAGCAGAGAACAGCGCGTGCAGGCAGCCTCCAGAGCCGGTGGCCCCGCGGATGACAACCTCTTCCACGGTTCCTATGCCTATGGCACTGCCCCGGCGTCCGAATCTACTCGTACTTTTCCCAGGAATAAGCAATGACTGGCAAGCAGCAGAGGGCCGGGGCAGAGAGACAAACAGACACAGAGTCAGAGAGAGAGAGATGGCAGGAGGGGGAGACACACAGGGAGAAAGAGGAGAGTGGGGTGGGGTTGATCGAGAGAGACAGGGCAGGGGAAGGAAGGAGAGATGCAGAGGACAGAGGCACGGAGATTGACCAGAAGCCAGTTACGCAGAGATGGGGACACACAGGGCAGGGGAGGGGGCATATGAAAGGCACAGAGTGACACGCAGGCAGACACCAAGGTGGGAAGAATGGGGAGGTAAAACGGAAAGAACGAGGGAGACAACAATGGGAAAGAGCAGGAAAGGGAGGAAGAAGGCAGGTGCCAGAGGGGGCAAGAAGGTGGAGAGGCCAAGGGAGGGGGAGGACAGGGGGAAGCGGGGAACAAGGAAAGGGAGGGGAGCAGAAGGAAAGGGAAACAACGTGAAGGGGGGGAGAGTTGTGCAAAAACAAAAACAGAAATGGGTCTGGTTACTGCCATGGTGGGTGCTGCTGGCCTGGCGCTGTCCCCGGGGCCCCTCCACGGCCACCCACAGGGGGCTGGGCCACTCCAGCAGGGGAGCAGGGAGTGGCTGGTCCAACTGGGCTGAGGGGAGGGTGGGCCTGCTTCTCCAGTGACTGGGCTTGGTGACTGCTGGACAGCAAAGGGCCCACCTGGCTTCCCTGGCCAGACTGGGGCACAGGGCCCTCCTGCTACATGGCACAGCCTCACAGCACTGAGCACAGGGCTGGGCATGCAGCACAGTCAATAAATGATGGACGGACGGATGGATGGATGGAACGACGATGGACGGATGGGGCGGGGAGCAGGTGCAGTGCAGGCAGCCCAGCAACCCAGGTCCACAGTGGAAGGCCTTACCCTCCAGTAGCCCCTCACACCCCCCAGTATCCACGGCAGAACCCCACAGAGCCTGGCAGATGCTAGAGAATCACACAGAAGCTGATTCCTGACACAGAATAGGTGGCCACAACCACAGAGGCCCTGGTGCACAGCTGGTGCTCACAGCAGCCTTGGGCCTGGCACACGGAAGTAGGTGCTCACAGTTGGTGCTCACACAGCAGTTCACATCCTGACACACAGTGAGTATGCACTAACACGGGGGCTCATTCAGCAGTCCAGGACCTGACATGTAGTGGGTTCTCACACAACAGCCCAGGGCAGGGCACACAGTAGGTGCTTACAGAGTTGATGTCTACACAGCAGCCCAGAACCTGACACACAGTAGTGCTCACAGAAACTCAGGGCCAGGCCCACAGTAGATGCTCACAGAGTACATGTCCACATGGCAGCCCACATCCTGACACCCAGGAGGCACCCACCAACATCTCAGAGCCAGGCACACAGAAGGTGCTCCCAGAAACTCAAGGCCCGACAATATGTGCTTATACAGCAGCCCAGTTCCCAGCACATGATAAACAGTAGGTGCCCAACAAGGAACGGGATACAGAGGCTGCCCTGGAGTGGACCCAAGGAAGTCACCCCGGAATAAAGGACCAGGAGGAGGGGAGGCTAAGGAGGAGAGAGGGAGCTACAGGCTCTCAGCGCTCCAGTGCCATGGCCTGGGCATGTGACCCCCAGGGAAACCAGTGGGGAGACCGAGTCTAGAGCCCAGGATGGGCGCTCTGGGCAGGAGGGGCCAGGCCTCGGGTCAGGGGAGAGCGCATGGCCCCTGGGGAGGGCACTCACTATTCCCGCCGCCTTGGCCAGGTCGGGGTTGTTGGGTGCGAAGCTCCCGCTATGGCTGGTGGACACGGTGCTGGGCTTCTTGTTGCTTAGTCCCATGGCGTCCATGGACTGGCTGCGGCTCCGGATCACCCGCTGGGAAGGTGGGTTGGGAGGGCTAGAGGCACGGGCTTCCTAAGGCCCCACCCCTGCAAGGAAACCCAGGAGCCCAGCCACCTGGTCCCTTCCCACCAATGCCACTCAGGGTGACCCCAGGAAGTCCCTTTTTGTGAGGCCACACAAGGCAGGGCCAGCTGGTGCCTCAGCTCTGCTACCAATTTGCTGGGTGACCTTGGGTGACCAAGCCACTGTCCCTCTCTGAGCCTCATGTGGTTGTTGCAAGGACTGCAGAAGATACTGGTCATGACCAAAAGCACGCAAACAGCCCTCCAGAAACCTGTTTCTTCCTTTTAGGGTCCCTCGGAGCATTCATGCCTTCTTTCTTTTCTTCCCTCCTTCCCTTTCTTCCTTCCTTTTTCCCGCCAATCTATACTGAAGGCTTCCTATGGGCCAAGTACTTTACATCGGCTCTCTCATTCAGTCCTCTCGGCAAGGTGGGCCCCATGCCCATGCCCATGTTATACTTGAAGAAACTGAAGCAGAGGCCAAACCCATGCCCTTAACTGTGGGCTCTGCTGCCTCTGGGAAATTCTTTGACCTAATCCAGGTCCACGGTCTAGCACCCACCAGATGCGGGACCACTGGAGCCTTCCCTCAAAGAAGACACCCTAAACCCATGTTCACCCTACTCGTTCCCTGTCTCTGGTGGCAAAGGCAGGGATCTCTTCAGACCTTTTTCTTAAAGACAGTCTGTTTGCCTCAGTCCCGAGCAGGCCTGGGCAGCTGAGCTAACCTCCTTATGCAAACCCATGTCTCCAGCTTTGAGATGTGCCCTGGAGTGAGGGTGAGGCCAAACTGGCCTGGCTGGACACCCGGAGGCTGCACACCTGGATACCCGCAGGTGGAGATGGCACAAAGAAGCCACTGCCGGGAACTGCAGCCTGGGGGGGTGATCCAGGCCCTATCAGGGAAGAGGAACTCCCCCCTCCTGCCTCTCATTTTGTGCAATAGTTGCTGAGGTAGACGGGCAGGGTTTTGCATTTTGCTTTTGAAATTTTCTCACACTAATCTGCTTTACAAATAATTCCTCTGTATGAGGTAAGTTGCCATTACCCTAACCAACAGATGAAGAAACTGAGGCCCAGAGAATGTGTAGTCTGGTGAAGTACCAGAGCTGGGATCTGAACCTAGGGACGTGACGCTTTAGCTAAGCCAAACAGCCAGAGTGGGTTATACAGCCTAAAATCACACAGGTCAGCTGCTTCTCCTACGACCACTCTGTTCACACACTCCTTCCCGAACCTGTTTCTTTCCTTTAGGCAAGACGGAGGCCTCCTCCTCTCTTCTGCTAACGCAAGGGACACAACCCTTAGCACCAGAGCAGCTGGTTGGCACCTAGAAGGCTCCAACATTCAACTGAACTCCCGGACAGACTCCGCCCCCAAGCGTAGACCCCGCCCCAGCATTAACTCCTCCCCAAGCCAGAGCCCCATCCTAGCCTCCCAGCGGCAAGCTCTCTCCCAGGCACAGACCACACCCCACCCTTAAAGCACACCTTAAAACCTATGTCCACCCTGAAGCTTGCCATAACCAGTCTGGACTCCAGATACGTGCTGCCAAGCTGTAAACTCACTTCTGAGTCTATTAGCCACACCCCCTACCCCACCCGAGCAACGCCCTCACCCCACCCCCACGCCTCATACGTAACCCCACCCATGACTCGACCCCCAAGTCAGGCTCCTACTACACCCGCCTCCAATGCAAGCCCGCCCCTGACACGCCCTCATGCCTCCTCCATAACCCCGCCCCGGACTCCAGCCCAAGCCACGCCCCCAACATGCCCACCTCCAATGCGAACCCGCCTCTAGCCACACCCCCACGCCTTGCCCATAACCCCGCCCCTGACTCCAGCCCTGCGAGGTCCCTCCAGGTAGATACCGGCTCTTCACCTTGAAAGACTCGAAGAAGCCACCGCCACCGCCGCCGTTCTCCGTCTTGTCCTCGTCGCCGCCCAGGCCCATCATGGACTGGCTGTGGATGTGTAGTTCCTCATAGAGCGTCTCCAGGAGGGCGGCCCGTGTCCGCTCCTGCGCGCCAGGCCGGAGCCGTCAGGAGAGAGCCCAGGGATCAGCCCTTCGTCCCACCGTTCTAATCCCGGCCACCTTTCCTGAGTGGGTGGGAAGTGGGCCTGGGTCCCAGAAGCCTAGGCCAGGTTTCCTCAGGGCCCTCCGCAGCTCGGGCTGCGCAAGGCCCCTCCAGGATCTGGCCCCACATCCCGCACGGCAGCCTTTGAGCTAGCCTGCCCACACTGAGCCCCGCCTGGGCATTCCTCACACACCCCTGGGCATGCCCGCCTCTCCCTTGACCCTCCTCTTCTCTCTTGTAAATCGTCCTCTCTCAGACAGTCCTCCCTAAGGCCAAAGCCTGAGCAGCACTTTTCCCTCCCTAGGGGCAGGACTCAAGTTCTAGGTTGGGAGGAGGGTTTCAGTCCCAAAAGCCCATCCTCACCTCCAGTTTGGCAAACTTCTCTGCCTTGTAGCAAGCATATTCAGCATTGATTAGTTTTGTCAGCAAAAATTCCTGGAACTCAGGCCCCTGGGAGCCCCCAGCGTGGAGGAGAGGAGAAAGGGAGGTCAGGTGAACAGAGACAGGAGGCTGAGCCCCAGGGAGTCAGAGGCTGGGGTTACTGAGCCACACCCAGCTGGGGCCTAGGGGTCGCCCTCCTCACGCCCAAAGGGTGCCTCCTTGGGCTCAACTTCCCAGCCCAGGCTCCTGGGCGGGGCCCCTATGCCTGGGCAGGACACCCTTTGGGGAAGCAAACCCCACAAATGTAAGGGGCTGAGTTGGGGTTCCCTACTGCCTGTCTTGAGGGGGAGGCTGTAGCCAAGGCTTGAAGTGTGCCTCCTCCCTAAACATTTTAGAAGAGTATTATAATTGTCAAAAAGGTAACAGAAATGAGGAAAGGCCACAATGTCTACTATGAAAAATGTAAAACAATGATATAGTTTGTTCTGTGACTTTATAAGTAAAGGTCACGTTTTTATCAAGATGAACAGAAAACCCAGGCCCCAATTGCATGGCTAGGGGAGCCCGGATGCCCTGGCACAGGGTAGGCATTTGAACAGCGTGGGTTCAGGACCTCATTGGGCAGAATGTGTGCCCTCCTCGGCCCCCACCCATTTAGTCCTGCTCTGCCCATGACTGGGACTGGGGGCCACCCCTCACCTTCCTGAACACAGCTGGGTCCGGGAGGGGGGGCCCGAAGAAGGGCACGTCGTCTCTCGCAGTGACGGAGACCTGGAAGGGACGGTAGCAGTCCCTGCAGAGACCCCACACCAGCCAGAAACCCCTAATTCACCTCCCTATCCTGCCCATGCTGGGCACAGGGTCAGCCCTGGGCTGGAAGGTTCAACAACCACCAGTTGGGTGAGTGAACCCCAGAATTTCAGCTGCAATAAGCTTGGTCCTGAATTTGAGTGGTAGTAAGGGGTGGAGTATCTCAGGAGTCATTGGGAAAGGTGAGGGCAGAGGAGGGTGAAGGCTGAGGACAGGAACCAGCCTCTTTGAGGGAGGCAACTTTGTAGAACAGAGGAAACAGGATGGGAATTCTCCATCATCAGAGCAAGAGGGGCTCAGAGTCCTCCAGACAGTCCCTGTTTACAGTTGGGAAAACTGAGGCTCAGAGAAGCCTCACAGCAAGAGAGGACCATGCTGCGGCTGATGCCCCTGGGATGCCCCGAGATCACCCACCTTGTAGAAGGGGCCGTCGGGCCCCCTGCCCTCAGCCTGCACCACCACGTAGGCATGCAGGAAGTTGGATGCGATCATGTCGGGCACAAAGGGTGTGTTCTCATCCTGGAAGACCAGAGCGACGATGTCATTCCCGATGTGTCGCTTCCGCTGCAACTGAGCACAGGGCCACAGGCCTTCACAACCCAGCCAGAGAGGGACCCACTGGGCACAGTGAGGATGCCCGCAGGGGTGTGGGGGGGTAGGCAGAGGGCACATCTAAGGATCTGCTTCCCCCGAAAAAGGTGGTGAGAAACTTGTCTTAAAATTGTTTTCTTGGAATCCTGTGACAGAGGAAGCTGAGACCAAGAGAGAAGTGACTTACAAGCCCTACAGTGAGTTAGGGGACTTAAACCCCTGAGCCCCAGGGCTCCTGGGCCCCAGACTCTACCTCTAAACCCTTCTCCTGTCTAAGCACCCCAAACATGGCTCCTCATGAACAAAAACGTTCTACTCAGTATATATTCTTGTTGCTGAAATGAACAGAGGATCTTATTAAAAGACCCTAAAAATAAGGAATAAATTATTTCCATCTTTCTCACATTGCCCTTTTTTTCCCATGGGGTGAAGCATGGGATAAGGTGGACATCTCTGCAGGACGCTTAGGACTGGGTGACAAAGTTCTGAGTTCAGCTACCGGACACATCCTGCGCTTCCTCCCTCCAGGCCTTCTTGAAGATGGAAGCCATTCTCCACCTGAATACTCCCCCTCCTTCTCCTAGCTCCTCTGCAGTCTCATAATCACTTTATTTTGAAAGCTCTTCCTGGGTCCCACCTGTACCAAGTCCGAGTGACCCCACAATGCCCTTCACTCCCTATAAAAATACTAACTCACATTTATTGAGCTCTTGCTGTGTACCAGATACTGTTCTAGCTGCACTAGAACAGTACTGTTCATTCCCTAATTTACGCTCACCTATGAGGTAGGTGCCATTATTATTCCCATTTCATGTACGTGGAAACTGAGGCTTTCACAACATTGCAGACGCTTGTTGTCATGCCCCAACTAGAGTCCACAAGTCAGGGGAGTGGATCATTTCCATCTCTATGTCCCAGGGCCCACTGAACGTGGTGTGGTGGACACTAAATGGTCAGGTAGATGGGCTATAGGAGGACAGGTGAGAAGCAGGTGGGTGGGTGCCCAGGCTACCTGCTGGGTGTCCCCTTCTGTGTAGGGCAGCTTGGTGGACACGTGAAACATGATCTCCTTGTTGCGGAAGTTGCAGTACACAGACTCGGTCCCCGTCTGCCCGTGGGTCACGTCCAGGCCTCCTCGGAACCTGCCCCAGGCCCCCCAGGCCACGGCTCAGTCTCCAGCCCCAGCCAGGCCTCCATGGGGCCAGGATGGGGGCTCCCTCCCTGCCCACAGGCACGGGTCAAACTGTACTCTGCTTATCCCATCCTAATGCTCACCCCTTAAAGTCCTGCAGTTTGACCTTCTGCCCCAGAAATTCAAGGAACTCCACGAAGGCGGGGCTTTCCTCATTGGTGCTGAAGAGTTCTTCCTCAGAGGTCTGGGGACACACAGAGGGAAGAGGTCTTGAGCTGGAGACCCTGAGCAGCCCCTGCTCCCCAACCCCCACTCACACCCAGAGAAGTCTGGAAGGAGGAACTGGCAGCCCCTGAGCTCCTGGGAAACTGAGTCCCCAGGCAGGTGCTCTTCCTGGCAGAGGTCTGAGGCCCCAGATACACCGCCAGGTGCGGGGTGGGAGGAGCGGGGAGGAGGAGGTGAGCACACCTGCCCAAGCTTCTGATAAATGACTCCAAACTTGAAGTTATTGCTGATAACATGCTCGTCAAAGGTGACGATGAGGCGGGAAGCCTGAGGGGAGAGGACAACGGGTGAAACAGACTGCTTCTCCATGTTCCCATTTCATGCTCCTACTTTGTGCCAAGCACTGTGCCAGGCACTCTACCTGCATCATCTCATTTAGTCCTCAGAGTAAGCCTATGAGAGAGACACTCCTGCTGTCCCCATTTCACAGGTTAAGAAGCCAAGGTTCAGAGAGCTTAAGGAACTTGCCTAAGGTCAACGACTTGCAAGTGGCAGAGCTGGGACTTGAACTCCAATCTTGCAATTCTAAAGCTTAAGCTCACTGCTCTGAGTTTTTCCCATAAGCCCCCACCCATAACACCCAACTCACTCCTTGGTTCCTCTGTAAAATCTACATCATTCTAGAACAGGCCAAGTCCCACCCACTTGCTATGGAGCCTTGAGCAAGACCCCCTCCTCGCCTTGGGCTTCAGTTTCCTCTTCTGTAACTGAGAAGTGGGATCTAGCTTCTGAGGCCCCTTCCTTCAGGGACCTGACCTTACTCTAGAGTTCAGTCAGAGCCACGAGGGTTTACATATCCTTCAAAGTCTGCCTCTTTCAGGAAGGCCCCCTGGCTCACTGAAGACAGAAGCCTCACCCTTTTCTCCCATTGTCAGTGTCTGGAACCCAGCACCCAGTGCCGGAACTGGAACACAGCTGCTGTCTGTGCAGCAACATTATGGAGTTGCTTGTGTTAGTCCCCCTCCTCAAGCTCCCTCTGGGATCAGAAGGCAAGGCCAACGCAGTGCCCTGGCTCAGGAGCACAGACTGCCCTTGGGAGAGTCCTCACATGGCTTTGAGTTTCCTGAAGTAACTAAGGCTTGCCTCTAAGGTGGACAAACTAGGTTTAAATGCAGGCCTTCCTTATCTGCTGTGCATCCCTGGGTAAGGCACAGAACCTTTCTGGGCCTCTGGTTCCTCCTCTGCAAAGTGCTGACTTTGCAGGGTCATTATGAGGATTAAATGAGAGAATTTAAGGAAAATATCCTACACACAGCAGGTGCCCAATAAATGCTCAGTCTCCCAGTTACCACCCACCATCAGTGAGCAGGGCCCAGATTCAGCCATACCTTGGGGTAGAGCACAGGATAGAATCGATCCACGTTCACATCTTCACACACCAGCTGCAGGAGGAGAGAGTGAGCACCTGAGGGGGAGCCAGGAGCAGGTGGGCCTCTGGGCTGCTGGGGCCGAGGTCTGCAGGAGGGCGGCAGCAGAAAGGAAAGGGGACCACCAAGGCCGAAGCAGGACCCGGGGCTCACTGTTACCCAGAACGGGCTGCAGAGAACAAGGGGCCCCTGTACCCAAAGGCACTCTACAGAGCACCAAAAGCACCCAGGCAGGGGATAGGAGCCCAGAACACAGGGCAGCATGCGGACATTGTCGGAATGCTCGAGGCAGGACCTCAGAGCCAGGGCCCCGCCCACAGGGCCAGGGCCGGGGGCCAAAGGTGAGGGTGTGCTGAGGCAAAACCACAGGCAGCAGAGGGCCCACTGGGCTGCCCGTAGGGGTTCAGCCTGGAGGATCAGAGGCCTCACCTTTGCCATCTGGACCACATTGGGAAACTCGGTGAGGCAGGAGATGGGGATGACATCATGGTATGTCCTGCCCTTGGTCCTGGGGAGAGAGAGCCCAGAGTGAGGGGCTCGGCGGCAGGAACGGGGGACAGGAGCTCCTCCATGCCAAGTAAGAACAAAGCAGGCATACCCCAGGGAGGGTGATGGGGGCCAGGCCTGGCTTGGGCACTAACTTGCTGTGCAACATTAGGCAAATCCCTGCCCCTCTCTGGGCCTCAATTAGAAGAACTGATAACATGAGATGGGATCTTAGGCTGTTAGACCTCAACCGTCCATGCTGTTGCAGGATCTCCTCACCTCACCCTCACCTGAGTAGCAGCCGCAGGTGCTCCTGGTCCCCAATGACATCATACTTGAGTGAGAAGACAAGGTGGCCCAGGGCAGTGTCCAGTGAGTAGTAATTGAAATGTTCCTGTGGTAGGAGATAGGGGTCAGGGAGTAGGTGAGGCTGAGCCTGGGGCTCCTAGAAACCAGATCAGAAAGCCATCTCACTCCCAGCTGGGGGCGGGTGGGAAGGGGAGTCCTTCACCAAGCAGCAGGTGTCATGGCTAATCACAGACTCAGCATCAGACAGACCTGCATTCAAATCCCAGCTCTGCCACTTGCCAGCTAGGTAGCCTGGAAAGGTCACCTAACCTCTCTGTGCCTCAGCTTCCTAGTCTATAAAAATCTATCAAATGGGAGTGAGGCCAGCTACCTTGTGGGATGGTGGCAGGAAATGAGAGATTGAATGTCTGGCACAGGGTAGGTATTCGGTGAATGAGGACTCTCTGGGTCCTCATCAAAGACAGGACTACATTAGCATCTGCATACCTGTCTCTCAGCCCCTCTCTTATTCAGGGCTGGGCACACAGTAGGTGCTCAAAGTAGGTGCTCAATAAAAATATGCAGACTGGTTGCTCAACCTGTGGCTCTATGGCCCCTGAAGCCAGGGCCTGTGAGAAACAGGAAGTGAAACATCTCGTGAATACACTGGGTGGCTGACCAGACAGGTTCCCTCCTGCCCTCCTGCCTCACCAGAGAAGCTGCAGGATCAGGGAGAAATACTGGAGTGCACAAGGGGAAGCTGTGGCAGAGATGGTACCCCCATAGAAAAGCCCAGGGCTGGCACCTCCAAGTGGGGAAATCCCAAAGCCGAGGCTAGGAGTGCACCCTAGCCTGGCCCTGGGTTCCCTGTGCTGGCCCTGGCAGTGGGGCAGGCTCTCCAGCCACACCTTCCCGAGGAGTCCTCCTAGAAGGAAGTCCTGTTTAAACATGAACACCTGTGCTCAGAGGGCAGGAGGAGAAAGAGCCAGGAGATGTGCCCTGCAAACCTGTAGCTCAGGGGCAGACTGAGCAGACCTGGGGCAGAGAGGCCCCCTTGGCCCTGCTGGAGCACAGAATGGTTGGCACCATCTGCAGAGAGGGAGTGGTAGGCATTTGGCAAGGAGGACTGGACTGGAATCCTGAGGGTGGCGAGTTTCTCTGGATCCCCGAGCCCAGGCCCAGGGGAGCCCAAGGAGAGGAGGCTCAGGGCCCCAGAGAGTCAGTGCCCCAAATCACCCTAACCTCCTCCCTTTGCCTGAACAGGGCCCAGTGCTTCCCCAGCCACCCACCCTGGAGCCAGGAAATGGCCCTGCCTCTCTGCCAGCCCCTGGGCCTTCTCTTCTCTGTGCTGCTAACTTGACCCTGTTCACTATGCCTCTTCTGACCCCAAACCTGTACCTCTTCAAGTTCCTCTGTGCTCAAGGCACCACTTTCTTCTGTCACTCATCACTTCTTCAGCAAACTCTTCCAAGTGCCCACTGTGTGTTGGGCCCCATTGGCCCCAGATCCCACTGCCTGCCAGACCCGGCTGAGAGCCTCTAGGCAGTGGGTGCCTGGGCTGCAGGTCTCTCACCACCCACAGGGCTCAGCTGGCAGGTAGAGTCCCGTGCTCTGTCCTGGGCCTGCTGGTTTAGTCCCATTACAGTGGGCTCCACCCCCATGCTCTCACCTTAGAGCCAGTACCCACAAGTGTCATGTCAATGCCCTGGGCCCAGACTGACATCACACAGCTCCCCTCTCCCAGAACAAGAAGCCACCCCTCCTCCCAACACAAACACACACAGAGCATAAGCCTTCCCATAGTGCGTCTTAGCGGAAGTGAGCCAGAGCTAGATGTGCTAAGTAACTGGTGACCTTGACCTAGTCACTTTACTTCTCTGAGCCTCAGTTTCCTCTTATGTAAAAAACAGAGCAATCCTAATCCTACAGAAGTTATGAAGATGTAATAGTAACGGTTGACATTGATTGCTTGCTATGCAGGCATGGTTCCCTATGTTTTGCATGTACTTTTATTACTCCACTTTTACAGAGCAGGAAACAGGCTCAGGAAGTTAGTTAAATAACTTGCTCAAGCTCACACCATCAAAACATGGAAGAGCAAAGATGTTCATCTAGGCCATGGGACTCCAGAGCCCATGCTACGCTGCACCACCTCAGGGGTAAGCTGACACAGAGGCAGCATCTGGCATGAACCTGATACACACAAGGCCCCAGCATGTTACCTTCCCTCCAGCAAGCACAGCCTTGTCCACTAACTCTTGCCTGGAACACTGTTGGGTGACACTCTGACAAGCTGTTGTGGGGCAGGGTCCCTGCTCTGGGGCTGGTGGTGAGACCCAGGTTGCATCAATCCAGGTCAAGCCCTGCATTACTCAGTCCCAGCTGCCTGAGGGCGGGGTCTGGGTCTGCTTTGCTTGCTGCTGTACCTGGTCTGGGTCTGCTTTGCTTGCTGCTGTACCTGGTGCCTAGAAAAAGGCCAGGCACACAGCTAGTGTTCATTACTTGCTAACCCTGCCTGAGAACCTACTTTGTGCTAGTTGCCATTTTGGACACCTTACAAGCATCCTCTCTTAAGGGCTTACAGAAACCTCTTGAGGTGGGTTTCATCACCATCTCCATTTCTACAGATGAGGAAACAGAGGCACACAGAGGGTTAAGTGACTTGCCCATGTCCCATGTAGTAAGTAGCAGGGCCAGGATTCAAACCCTTGTAGAGTCTCTGCTATTTGCCTTCATGCAAAAACACTGCCTATTGCAATCAATGCTTGTTGATGAGCTAGTGAATCCAGCACCCACACTGGGACTCTGGGCTCTGGGACTGTCCCGCAGCCCCAGTCCATGAGGTCTGCTTCCTCCCAGGCCCAGCCCACCCAGGAATGGGCTGTGACCCATACCCACCCCAGCCCAGCCCCCCAATACCAGCAGGGCCACCCACCTTGCCAAGAAAGTGCTTCCGGTAGGTGCGGGCTGTGGGGTTGCACTCCAGCTTCACCTTGGTCGTGGGTGATGGCAGTGACTCTGTCTCTGGGATGCTAGTGATTTCGTGGTTGGTACCTTCAATCCAGTAGCCCCCAAACTGGGGCAGAAGGATGAGGGGGAAGGGCCCCTCTCGTCCCAGGACCTGAAGGGGGACTTAGCTGAGAGCTGCCCACACTGCACTCCACCAGGGGCCCCAGGACAGGGGCCCTCAACTCAGACCGGGGGCCACTTCTGCTACGGCAGAGGAGCGTGACTAGGGGATGAGCCAAGTGTGCTACGTGAGCCCCAGGCCTTGCAGCCACCCCCTCCAAGGTACTTGCATCAGAAACTTTCCTCCGACTGCAGGCACAGACACAGACCATGGAGCCCCATGACCCAGCCTCAAAGAATGAGGGGTGAGGGCAGGGAGAGCTGGGAGCATGTGGCCAAGAAGCTGAAATGTCTAGATCAGAGGACTAAGTGTTCAAATAGGCTCTGAAGTCTTGGGTCTGTAAACTGAGTCTCCAGCCCCCATGGCAAGGCCTGTAGTCAGGATCCTAACAGGGAGGAGAACATGGGTGTCCAGACACCCGGAGTGAGTGCCCTGGGGGGTCAGGATGAGGGTGGCTCCCGGAGGTCCAGCTGGTTACCTCGTGAACGCTCGGGTAGGGAATGTAGTCCTCCTCTGTCTGCAAAACACGAGAGGGTAGAGGCCCAGATGGGCTTGGGTCCCCACCCTTTACTTTCAGCCAGCCCAGAATGCTGCCCTTCAGCCAGTCAGCTGTCTTACCGTCTCTCGGATGGGGCAGGGCTTGCCTGGAGGTGACCCTACAAGGCAGGGGCGTGTCAAACTTAGCTCACTGAGTCTCCTGGGTCTCTCTCTGCCCAGGGATAAGGAATCTCACAGCCCGCCCCCCGCCGGCAGAAGAACTTCTGGACCCATGGTTCTCAGTGCATCAGCATGGCCTGGAAATCTCGTTAAATGCGACTGCTGTGGCCCACCCCCAGAGCTTCAAGGCCAGGGGGCTGGCTGGTGGGGCCCAAGAATTTACATTCCAACAAGCTCCCAGGTCACATTGATGCTGCAGCTCTAAGCACCACACCTTGAGAACCCCTGCTCTGGACAAGCATCGGGCTTAAGCCCATGAACCCCCTTTGACTGTCACCCCTGCAGCCCTGGGCCCATTTCCCCAGCCCAGCTGCTGGTCGTCTCAGATTGCTGGGGTGTCAGGTCATCACCCATGGAACCATATGCCTATCTGGAAGGGCTAGGCAGCTCCCACCCCAAGAAACTTTTGAGTCTAAAGAAGAGCCTCCTTGCATCTCTCTTGGTCCGTGGCCTCCTGTTAGCCTCCTTATGGGAAGTTGGGAGGTAAACAGGCCACCCCTTCTTCCCCTGTCTTCCCAGGCAGGAGCTACATGGAGCAGGAGAACATACACCTCCTGGTCCTGCGTGTGAGTCCTCCTGCAACTGATGATCGTGACTGGCTTCAGGGAAAATGTTCTATGATGGCCTATCTTGTAAGGGATGCGATGGGGACTTGGGCTGGGGAAGTCTGGGGAGACAGGGCGAGTTTATTATGGGGGAAATTGGGTGGGGAGGGCTGGAATGAAGGCCCTAGGCCCATAGCAAGGGAGGGGGTCTCCACATCTCAGCACTCCCTGCGCACAGTTCTCAGTGCATCAGCATGGCCTGGAAATCTCGTTAAATGCGACTGCTGTGGCCCACCCCCAGAGCTTCAAGGCCAGGGGGCTGGCTGGTGGGGCCCAAGAATTTACATTCCAACAAGCTCCCAGGTCACATTGATGCTGCAGCTCTAAGCACCACACCTTGAGAACCCCTGCTCTGGACAAGCATCGGGCTTAAGCCCATGAACCCCCTTTGACTGTCACCCCTGCAGCCCTGGGCCCATTTCCCCAGCCCAGCTGCTGGTCGTCTCAGATTGCTGGGGTGTCAGGTCATCACCCATGGAACCATATGCCTATCTGGAAGGGCTAGGCAGCTCCCACCCCAAGAAACTTTTGAGTCTAAAGAAGAGCCTCCTTGCATCTCTCTTGGTCCGTGGCCTCCTGTTAGCCTCCTTATGGGAAGTTGGGAGGTAAACAGGCCACCCCTTCTTCCCCTGTCTTCCCAGGCAGGAGCTACATGGAGCAGGAGAACATACACCTCCTGGTCCTGCGTGTGAGTCCTCCTGCAACTGATGATCGTGACTGGCTTCAGGGAAAATGTTCTATGACGGCCTATCTTGTAAGGGATGCGATGGGGACTTGGGCTGGGGAAGTCTGGGGAGACAGGGCGAGTTTATTATGGGGGAAATTGGGTGGGGAGGGCTGGAATGAAGGCCCTAGGCCCATAGCAAGGGAGGGGGTCTCCACATCTCAGCACTCCCTGCGCACACCTTTGGCTCCAGCAGGACTGCTTCATGAAGGGGTCCTAGAGTCTGCAGCGCTGACTGCTTGGACAGGCAGCCGAGGCAGTGCTCCCCGGGCCCCACCCCACCCCAAGAAGGGAGTCGGCCTCCTCTTTCCCACCCCCTCCAGGTCCCCCAACCCTTTGAGAGTGCTCTGCTCAGGAGGCAGACAGCACAGGCAGAGGCCCACAGAAGGAGAGGGCAGCGCCGTGGTTCAGACCTACTTTGAGGGGTGGTGGGAAGGAGCATCGTTGTTCATCCATCCTGCTTCCCTGCGAAGAGAAGGTAACACATCCTGGTAAAGCCCTCCCTTGCCTGCTGCCTGGGTGCCTCCCACTGGAGGCTCGCATCCCTTCCTTAGAGAAGGGGAAAGGCTGGCCATGTGGGGTACCCCCCAGGTGCTGCCTGGCCTGACTACTCAGGCCTCTCTGCAGGGCTGGTGGTCCTGGTGGTGACCTGGCTGAGGCAGCAGCAGGGAGCGGCACTGCGGGAAGGCCTGCTGCGGGGAGGAGGGGCTGGGGCCGTGTGCTCCCTCCTGTGAGCCTGGGGAGGGAAGCTACTGCCTCTATACAGATACGTGTTGTTGAGAGAGGGAGAGGGAAAGAGGGGTACGGGGGAGAGAGGGAGAGAAAGCAGGGAGGAGAGGTGGAGACAGATTAAGAGAGGCAAAGAAACAGGAAGGGGCAGGAGTGATGAACTGACATCAGGGAAAGTTCCTGAGGTTTGTTCAAGTCACACCACCCCGTTGCCCACCTCCCAACACATACCCATGCATAAAACAGACCAGACCTGAAGACCAGGGCTGGGGAGGGAGGGTGGACAGGGGGTGCCGGCTCATTAACACCTCTCCCTACCTGCAGCCCAGCCTCGGGCTGCCAAGTGCCTGGCATCTGTCTGTCCTCCCATTCAATAAGGGGGTCCTGCAGAGCCTGCAGTGCCTCTCAGGGGATGGGGGATGGTGTGCATGTGGGGGTGGGTGAAGGCACTGACCTATGCAGGGATAGAAGCTGGGCGGGGAGACCTAAGTGCGGCCTGGCCCTTGGGAATTAGGCATTACCAGTCCCCATCCTCTAACTCTGACCCCCAGACAGAGGGCTCTGGACAATGCACTGCCACCATCTCCTCCAGCACGGTATGCTGAGGGCCCCTGGCTTGTCCTTGGAGAGATGTAGGGCTGGAGCTACAGCAAGGACCCTCCTCCCCCAGCCCAGCCACCTCTGTGGCTTCCCAGAATGGGCTACAAAGCCAACCTCACCTGCATCTTTTCAATCATCTCAAACAGATCTGTGTTCTGCAACAGAGATGGGGGAGAGCAGGTCATTCCTCAGGGTGGCCCAGCTGATCCTGCTAAGCTCCTGAGGAGTCCCCACCCATCCCAGCCCTCCTAGTCCCCCCAGCTCTGACCAATCACTAAGGACCTGTCCCAGCAGCAAGAGGAAGTGGAGGGGGTATTGTAGGAGGTGGCTCTGTGCAGCCGATCCGCAGAGTTTGGCTAACTGCTGAGTGAAGTCAGCACAGAGCCCAGAACCCTCCCCAGGCAGCCCACCCAACTCAGTGCCCTTCCTTAAAGGCAGAAGCTGCTGCCTCTGATATAGAGGGCTGTGATCCTTGGAGACAGACACATCTTCCCCACATCACTGCAAAGTTGGCAGTGCCAGCATTGGTCCAGAACCCCTCAGAAGAGCCCCAGGTCTCAGTCCCAGAGACAAGCTGGGATCCTCAGGAGGGTCTGTGGTTCCACCCACCTCTCCTGGAAGAGGGCCTCACAGCCTAGGCTGAGGGGCTGTTAGGGGAGAGAATGCTGGGATATCCCACTGGCCCAACACTGTGTGTGTATCCACACGCACACCCTTACCCCTCCCACTCCAGCCAGCCTTTCCCAAGGCTGGCCAGGGCACACACAGGGTTAATCTGGGCATCTGCCAGCTGTGCTAGGCAGCCACAGCCTCTGCAGTGCCAGCTCTCTACAAGCCTTCCTGGAAGGCGGCATCCTTGCCGGCTGGCGGGGCTGGGGGCTGGGCCTGGGAAGCCCCCAGAGTCTCTTGGATGGCGCCCCTCCCCCAGCACCTCCAAACCTCAACTCAGTGGGCTCCCGCTGCCCAGAGGGGGACTGCCTGAGCTCACACAGATGTGCTACGGGGTTGTGCACCAGGAAACACATACTCTTTTCTGCTTGAACACACACAGGCCTGCACACTGATATTTAAACGCAGTTTCAAGGAACCAGAGAAAGCAAACATACACAACTCCCCCGCTACAAACCCAGGGTGTCTGTGTACACCAATTCTTAGACTCAGAGCTAACACACAGATACACGCGTCAGTGTCCTAAGTTACACAACAGCAAGCCCTTTCACACACACAGGTACTCGTACAAGGGCCACACATCCAAATGCATATTCACCCCTGTGCAGATCTGCTCACCAGTAACTGCCGGTGAAATGAGAAGAAAACCACTCTCAGTCTGTGGGCTGAGAGACACAATAATGTGCACTCACAGATACAGGCAGGTATGTTCACGGAACTTAGCCACAGAGCCTCACTTCGACATACAAGCTCCCCTTGCCCCATCAGAGTCATCAGAGCCACACACTCTGGGTACAGACATGACAGACTTGATCTCATAACAAGGAGTTTTGAGAAAAAGCAGGCGGCAACTGCCGGAGTGGTTAATCACCAAGGACAAGGGGCACAGGTTTGAACCTTGCACATCCCCTTGTACACACACACGCGCACACACACATAAGGAGCTCTGTTAAAGATCATGAGACACAGACATCCTAAGTGCACACTCTGAGATCTGCTCACAGAAAACCCACCCTATAAAATGTACCACAGGAGTCCACAGGAGACGTGGACCCACAGCCACACCCAACACTTCCGAGCTTGGCAGAGACAATCCCACAGGAGGTTGTAACAGAAACCACAGATGTACACCTGCAGTCCAGGTAGACAAACATGCCTGTCCACCAACACTCTATACAGACAGCAACACAGGCATCTATGCCTGGGATTGCCACACAAACTCAGCTTGGCAGCCACAGCGTTAACAGTAATGTTGGGTATATTAATGTCCCCTAGAGACCCCCACTCAGGGAGATATACCATGGCCAGGAACAATGCACAGGAGTCACAGCCACATAAACACTGACACATGGTACTGTCACCCAGTGCACACACACAGCAACAAGTGACATCCACAGTTACAGCCTTACCGGTAGAAGAGCTGCCCTGACACATGGAAAGCTGTGAGAGAAGCAGCCCAGAGCACCACTGCAAAGTTATACTGAGACATTTAAACCCTTTCTAAAGTGAATAGGCAACGGGTGAAGTGGTCCAGAGGCTGGCGCGCGTTCACACACACACGCACACACACACACACACACACTCACACACAGTGCCACTATAGCCGAGCCATCACGGGCACTCCGTTCCATGAACAGCTGCAGATAGAGCCCAAGGCCTGCGACCCCAGGGCAAGGGTGCGCCCTACGGCCGTGTGTCAGCCCAGAAGCAAACACACCCTCCATGACGGAGCCTCGCCCGCCCGCCCAGGTGGGGCAGAGTCTGCCGGGCTCCGAGGAAGTCGGGCTGACCCGGCTCCCGCGGACCCCCTCGGCCAGGCCGCTCTCGCCCCGGTCCTCACCTGCCAACCAGCCCCAGCAGGCAGCGAGCCCCGCCGCGGACGGCCAGGGGGCGCCGGGGGCCGCGGCTGCGCCATCCCGCGCCCGGCCCCCGCCCCGACGGCACTTCAGTTGGCCCGGCAGGCTCCGGCACGCGCGCGTCCCGGCCCGGGCTCCGCAGCGCCGAGCTCCGCGATCCCGGCTCAGAGCTCCCAGCCGCGCGCTGCCTGCGCTGAGCTGGGCTCGCCGGGTGGCCCGGGCCGGGGTAGGGGCGGGGCACCAGGTACTGGCAGCGGGGGGCTGGGGCGGGGCTTCTGATGTCTGGGGCGGACACACAGGAGGCCCCGCCCCGGCGCGTCCCGGCCCAAAGTTCCCGGACACTGCGCCTGCGCGTTCATGCTGGCACGCTGGAAGCTTTCTGCGCGTGGGGCCCCTTGGAGCTCCCAGGCTCTCCCCGGCGTGCCCCTGCCCCGCCTTCTCTATCTTCCCAGACTCTGGGTACCCCGCTTCAGGGCCTCAAGGACGGGATTCTTGAGCTATGAAGCCGGGCTGCAAGAGCAGGAGGTTACCTTGGAGATCAAGAGCTCTTGAGTGGTACTTGATGTTTGGACCCTTGTCAAGTCCCATCCGCTTCCCACACCGCAGGGGATACAAGTGCCGTCCCCATTTTAGTGAAGAGAAAACCGATTCCAAGCGGTGAAACATAATGCTCAAGATCACACAGCTAGCAAGAGGCAGAGCTAGGAATCCAAGGGAAGGCCTGGAGCTGCCTTCCTGTCCCTCCTCACCTCTACCTGCCCCCTAGTGCCTGCCTGGCTGGCCTGTTCCCTCCCTTCCCTAGATCCCATACCCGTCCTGGACTCCAGCTGCCCCTGTCTCTGGGACTGCCACGGTCCCATGGCATGGAGTGGCCCTCAGGACATGGGGATTCTAGCTCTGTCCTTGAGACATCTTGCTGAGTGGACTTGAATGAGCCTTGTCACTTCTGTGGCCTCAGTTTTCCCATCTGTCAAATGTAAGGTCTCTGCAGGCCCTTCCAGTTCACCCTGCATTGTGTCTGCCCTGTACAGTGGGGACAGGGACAGGTTCTCAACATCTCTTCCCCAGACAAATGCTGGGAAAGCAGCAATTGCTTCCTGAGCTGTGGCCAAATTAATACCAGCTGTTTTGGACCCTGCAGGGGTAGGGCTGCCCACCAACTCAGGGCCCAACCTATCTTTAGCTTGCTGAAGGAGCTGCAAGCAGCTGCCCACCATCCTCCATCTCCAGGGCCAATGGCTCCTAGAAGGAGGCACTGCAACTTCCTTTCCCCCAGACCTAGCCCTGGGTCAGGTTGGAGCCGAGCCCTGGGAACTCCAGAGATGTGTGTTCCAGACATGGTGTAGCTGTTTTTAATAATTAACAGCAGCAAATATTGATTTACACAGGCACTTCCAGGCCTGAGCGCTTCCGGGTACCCATTGAAGTATAGCCAGAGAAACGTCCATTCCCACAGTGGGAGGAGGTAAGACCTGCTCACATCACCAGAGATGTCTGTGTGCCAGGTGACATGGAGGGTATGCACATGGATGCATGCAGCTGTGCGTGTGTGTGTGTGTGTGTGTGTGTGTGTGACTCTGAAACCAGATGTGTCTCTGTGTGCATGGCCAGTGGACATCCTGGGTATGGTATTTGTACATGTGTATATGTACAAGTCTCTGAATACATTTGCAGACATGTAACTGTGTCCATGTACATAGGTGTGAGCAGGCTGTGTAGATTTCTGAATCCCCAAGTGGAGAAACTCTAATGGGTAGGAGGGTCCTGGATAGTTCAGTGTCTGTATAAATGTGGCTTCCCAATGAGAGGGGGATGTCCCTTCTGGGTGTTATGTGCTGCCCTGGGAACGTAATCATGCTGATAATGCTGATAATAGTTCAACTTCTTAATTTCTACTTTCTAAAGTTACTTCATAGTCATCACCTAACTGCAAGCTGGCAAGATGGGAAGAGAAGGAACTGTCACCTCTATTTTACAGATGAGGAACCTGGGGCCCAAAGAGAGGCAGGTATCTGCCCATTGGCACAAGGAGCTCACTTGCCCCTCAGAGTGGCCCCATCAACATTATAAATGGGGGGCAGGGGATAGAGAATGTGTCACTAACCTGGTTCCCTCCACCCCACCACCGGTTTGCTGGGGATCCAGACAGACCACTCAATCTCTCTGTGCCCTGGTTTTCTCCCCTGTTAGACCCACAGACTGTATCTTGTTTCTGGGGTGGGTACCAGCTGTCAGGATGGGGCGGTTTGGAGCCTTCTGTCTGCCTGTATTGGCACATATGGAGGCTTCTAGCCAACTAGGTGGAGGCCAGGAAGCCCAAGAGGAGGCCAGCCCCAGGCTGTCTGAGCAGGCAGGACTCAGGGCGATGGGCTGTTCCAATCCTGGCTTTCCTGATGGGAAGACTGAGGGCCAGGAAGCTCTGGTCTTAGGGCACACAGCCCTTGGTGGGAAGCCAGGCCTCCTCCCAGATGCTTAGGAAAAGAGGAACTGGGACCCTCACTCATGAACCCAGCTGCTATTCAGTAGCCCCCTTCCTGCCAAGCCCCAGGATCAATATGGCCAGTCCATTGCTGCTGCCCAGGCACTGATGCTCTCCCTAGGGCTCCCTACTTTGGATCCCCTTGGAGGTGGTGCGCCCCCAGAAGGACACCATTCCTTGGCCATCTGCCCTCTGGGCCTAGGAGAGGTACCTGGTCCTTGTTCTAGGCCAGAGCTCTCAGAAAGCTTGGCAGATCCTGCCTCTGCTATTTCCTGGCTGTGTGACCTTGAGAAAAAACACTTCACCTCTCTGAGCATCTGGATCCTCATCTGGAGAATGCCTACCACCCAAGGTTTGATGAAAGGACAAGAGGCATGATGTCTATGGACATGCTTTAGAAACTGTAAAGTGTATAGCAAAAGTGGGGGCTCATTACCCTCTGCATTAGAGAGGCCCCAAGACCAGATACTTGATTTCCAGTCCTGGCTCCATTGCATTCTATCTGTGTGTCTTTGAGCAAGTAACTTGACCTCTCTGAGCCTCAACTTTCTGATCTACAAAATGGGAGTAATAATTGTAGCTATCACATGGTACTTATAGTTTGAGAATGAAATTGAGATGTTAATGAAATGCATGTGAAGCAGTAAGTACTCACCTGGTACATAGTGAATCACAATATATGCTAGTAGTTATCACTGCTATTTGACACTCGGCATAAATTGTTCAGTTATTTATCTCTTAACCTGGATTATGGCTCCATGAAGGCAGGGTCTGTGTCAGGTTGATTTTTGGCCCCTAGGCACCCAGCACTGGGCAGACATTTGAGTTTGATGTTGACAATAACAGCCTCATTTATAGGGCTCTTAACTCTGTGCAAGATACCCTGGTTCTGAGCTGTACTGGCCCACCCAGGAGTGAGGAGTGGCACCCTTTTAGGGGGCTAAGCTGGTGCCTGAACATTTTAACACTGCACAGCAGTCATTCTCAGCCCTGGGGCTTGGGGGGGTCTCTGGACCAGGGGCAGGTTGGAGGGGTTCACATACCTTAGGGTAGAGTGAATCAGTGTGGGAGGGAACTAAGTCCACTCTTGGCAGGTCTAGTGCCTGAGGGAACCGCTGGTTCGGCCCATCACTTCTCCTGGAAGAGAAAGAGCCTGAGGTTAAGGAGAGCCCCAAGTTGGGAAATTTATGAACTCTGGGAGGAAGAGTCACTCTCAGAGTTGAGGGTATGTGAGGGGCAACAGATTTCATGGAGGAAGGGTCCTGGGATCCCCAGGAGGAAGGCAAGGAGGGGCTTCTTGAGCAGGGCTGCAAAACAGTGTCTCCTTCCCCAGAAGTCAGAGATGTGGACAAGATCTCTCTCCAAGCTCTCCATCAGGCCTCCCAATGCATACTCCAGCTAAGAGTATGTCTGCAGCCCATTCTGAAGATGGGTAGACTGAGTCAGGGGGTTGCTATAAAGAGCTGAGCCCTGACCTCTGAACTAAGTAGAATGCCCCAGCCTCTATGGACCACTCTCTGAGCCTGCAGGGGGAGAGCAGTCTTAGGGCTGAGAGGCCACTTGGGCTACTGCTATTATTAATGACAATAAAAAACACTCACACTCATTGGTCCTACTATGTGCCAGGCCCTGTGCTAAGACCCTCTTTCCAGGCCTGAGGGCACAGACTCCTCACCACACTGGCATTCCCACTTTACAGATGAGGACCCAGAGGCACAGAGAGGTCACACAGCTGGTTGGTGGCAAGAGCCAGCACCTGAGCAAGGCCTGACTGACTCCAAGCAGAGACTCTTTGCCCATATCCACGCCCTTCCCTGAGGAAAAGAAGCAGGTCTGGTGAGGATGAAGTCAGCTCCTGTCACTCTAGAAAGCCTGCTGAGGAGGCCACCTTGGGTCAGGGAGAGGAAGTGCCCAGTGGTTCCTGGGACTCAGGGAGCCCAGGGCTGGGCAAGCAGGCCTGGTTTCCGCCCACTGCCTAGGGTCACCCTGACGTGGCTGCACCCCCACCTCCGTCCCATCAACAGAGGCTGGTCCCAAGAGGGTGAGTCATTCAGGTTGCCAGATGATCCTCAGAGGCCTATGGCAGACTTGAGTCAGGCGAAGCTGGGACTGCCACACCCCAAAAGGGGAAGGGCCTGGGGGAACCTGGCCCAGGAAGGAGACCCTGAGGAAGCTCTGAGCCTACTGCTCATATGCCCCTTAGCCCAGCTACTCCAGGAGAAACCTGAGCATCTGGATCCTCATCTGGAGAATGCCTACCAGCCAAGGTTTGATGAAAGGACAAGAGGCATTATGTCTCGGTGCACAGCCCTGAGGCAAGCACTGGATGCCTCTCCACCTCCTGAGGGTGCTGACATCTTAGGCGGGTGGCCCATATGGGGCAGGGCTTGACCTAGAAGGATAGTGACAGTGGCATTTCAAGCCCATGGCATCAGTGTGGCAGGCTATTCCCAGGCACTTACCTGCCCTATGACCTCGGTCAGCAACACACCCCTCTCATCCTCTTTTTCCAAAAAAATTCACCATAAAGCAGCTAGTAGGTATTCCCTCAGAGAATTATCTGACATTCATTCATGGTCACCTCTAGCTCCCTAAGTTAGGTCTCATTAAGTATTTGTTGAATGGATAAATGATTGAATGAATGAATGAAGGTTAGCAGTAGGGTCACACCGAAGTTTTGTGAGCAAGGGAATGGCCTAAACACAGGTTTCTGCAGATTCACGGTGTGCTGACAC